AGTCTTAAAGTCAGTTAGAATGGGTGCTCCAACTTTGTTCTTCTTTTTCAAAACTGTTCCTTTGCTTCTGCATATTAAGTTCATAGAATCTGCAAAAAGTTCTGTGAAATTTTGTTTAGGATTATATTGAATCTATAGATAAATTTTGAAAGAATTAACATCCTAACTATATTGTGTCTTCCAATCCATGAATGTGGTATATCTCTCCATCTATTTAGGTCCTCTTTAATATTCTTCATTGGTGTTTCATAGTTTTGGAGTTTTTAGCAAATAGATTTTGTACATATCTTGCTAGGTTTATATCTAATTATTTTGTGGGTTTTGGTGCTATTGTAAATGCTACTATTTTTTATGTTCAGTTTCCAGTTGTTCATCGATAGTTGAAGAAAAATGATTTTTGTTTGTTGATCTTGTATGAGATCCTATTAAACTCACTGACTAATAGCTTTTTTGTAGATTCTTTGGGATTTTCTATGAGTATAATCATGTACTCTAGGAATAAAGACACCTTTATGTCTTGATTTGCAATATGTATACTCTTTTCTCCCCCTGTCTTATTGCACCTCTCAAATGATGTCCCCATTTAAGTAGGGGTGGCATTTTGGCATTTTCCCTGATCTTAAGGAAAAGCATTCAGCATTCATTATAAAAATGATGCTAGCCATAGGTATTTTTTATGGATGCACTTTATCAGGTTGGAGAAATTCCTTTCCATTTCTAGTTTGTTGAGAATTTTTATCATGAAAAGATTTTGAATTTTGTTAAAAGCTTTTTTGTACCAAGATCATCATATGGTTTTTCTTCTTTAGTTTGTTAATAAGGTGGGTTCCATTGTTTGACTTTCAAATATTGAAACAGGCTTTCATCCCCAGGGTAAACTCACTTGATCATGGTAGTTTCATACATATGTATAATTGCTACATCTGAATGGCTAATATTTTGTTGAGGATTTACATTCATGAGAGTTATTGATCTTTAGTTTTATTTTCTTTTAGTGTCTTCTGGTTTAGGTATCAGGGTAATCCTGGCCTCATAAAATGAGTCCCTCTCTTCCTTTTTCTGTAAGAGTTTGTATAGAATTTTATCTAAAATTTTAAATCCATGAGCTTAAACGTGTTCATAGTATTTCCTTATTATCCTTTGAATATCTGTAGGATCTGTAGTGATGTCCCTTTTTTCATTCCTGATGTGGGTAGTTTATATCATGTTTTCTTTTTCTTGGTCAGTGTCCCAAGAGGTTTATCAATGTTATTAATCTTCTCCAAAAGCCATCATTTAGTTTCTCTGATTTCTTTGGTTTCTTACTGTTTTTCTGTTTTCAATATTATTGATATATGCTTTTATCTTTTGTTCTTGCTTTGAGTTTAGTATACTCTTCTTTTTTAATTTTCTTTAAGTGGAAGCCTAGGTCATTGATTATAAATCTTTCTACTTTCCTAATAAAGCATTTAATGCTATAAATTTTCCTCTAATCACTGCTTAGCTGCATCCCACAAATTTTGATGTTATGTTTTCATTTTAATTCAATTAAAATATTTTCCCTTGCGACTTTCTTTTTGACTCATGTGTTATTTAGAAGTGAGTTGTTTAATTTCCAAATATTTCAGGATTTTTGACATATCTTTCTGTTATTTCTAGTTTAATTTTCTTATAGTCAGGTTACATATGTTGTATTGTATCAGTTCTTTCACATTTTTTTGAGACTTGTCTGGTGGCCCAGAATATGTTGGTGAATATTCCATGTGTACTTGAAAAGACTGTATATTCTGCTCTCATATGGTGGAATGTTCTATAAATGTCAATTAGGTCAAATTTATTGTTAGCATTTTTTATGTTTTCTATGCCCTTGTTGATTTTCTGTCCATTTGTTCTATTGTTTACCAAGAGAGGAATATAGATGTCTCTAACAATAATTGTGGATTTGTCTATTTCTTTTTTTACTTCTATCAGTTTTTGCTTCGTGTATTTTGAAGCTCTATTAAGTACATACACATTAGGATTGTTGTGACTTCTTGATGAATTGCCTGCTTTTCATAATGTAAAACCTTTCTTTATCACTGGTAATATTTCTTGTTCAGAAGTTTACTTTGAATAGTAAGATAGCTACTCCAGCTTTTTTTTTTTTTTTTTTTTTTTTTTTTTTGGCGGTACACGGACCTCTCACTGTTGTGGCTTCTCCCACCACGGAGCATAGGCTCCGGACGTGCAGGCTCAGCGGCCATGGCTCACGGGCCCAGCCGCTGTGCGGCATGTGGGATCCTCCCGGACCGGGGCACGAACCCGCGTCCCCTGCATTGGCAGGCGGACTCTCAACCACTGCGCCACCAGGGATGCCCCTCCAGCTTTTTTTTTTTATTAGTGTTTGCATGGTATATCTTTTTTCCACTCCGTTACTCTATGTCTTCATACTTAAAGTAGATTTCATATTCTCAACATATAATGAGGTCTTGCTTTTTTATCCAATATGACAGTTTCTAATTTTTAGTTGCTATGTCTAGACCTTTATATTTAATGTAATTAATTTACATGGTTGGATTAAAATCTTCTATCTTGCTAGTTGTTTTCTGTTAGTTCCTTCAGCTTTTGTTTCTTTTTTTCCTCCTTTTGTGCCCGGTTTATAGGAAGCACACAGGATAAATGAACAGTTAAGTGTCACTACAAGGAAGAAATCAACCAAATCAGAATGTGGGGCCTTCCATGGAACAAATAACATGATGTTGCCAATAAACCAATGGCATGAAATAGAATTTTTTTTAAAGGCTTAAGAAATAGAACAAGGCAATTATATCTTTTATGCAATGTGTGGAACTTGTTTGGATCCTGATTCAGACAAACTAGAAGATGTCTTTGAGAGGAATAGAGAAATTTGAGTACAGACTGAGCGTTAGATAATATGAAGGAACTACTATTCATTCTGTTGGGTATAACAATGGCATGGTGGTTTTAAGTGTTTGTGCATGTATATACATATATAAATACATATTTAAAACTTGTCAGTTAGAAATGCATAACATCTTGAATTCACTTAAAGCACTCTAGAAAAGAAAAAGAAGCATGTGATAAATTAAACTGGCAAAATGTTGCTAATTACTGATGCTGGGTCATGGGTATTTGAAGGTTTGAAGTTTTTCTTAATAAAAATGTTAAAAACAAAACTCAACAAAGTAGAGTGCACACTGAAATAGAGACCACAGAAAAGAACCAGGTCTGATGGGGAAATGATGAATTCTGTTTGGACATGTTTAGTTCGATGGACCTTTTGGGGCTTTGAAATGGACGTGTCCTGCATGCAGTTGGTCCAGAGTTCTAGAGATGGTGACTGAAGCTGTGGGCATGGAGAAACTATCCAAGGAAGGAATACAGTGTGATAAGAGAGGGCCCAGGACTAGACTTGGAAGAACTGGACGATGTAATGGCCAGGTAGGGGGGGCTGAGCTTTGTGACTGGGGAGAAGTAGCCAGAAGATGGAGGGGTCACAAATGCCAAGTGAAGTAAACGTTTCCAAAAGGAGGAAGGGCTAACGGAGCCGAATGCTGCCAGATGTCAAGCAACGTGAGGACTAGAATGAGTCTATGGGTTTGTGTCATGGATGGAGGTTGCTGCCTGGGTGGGAGCTTTGTAGGCGGAGGTACAGGAGTGAGGTGAGGAGTGAATGGGAGGTGAAGAAGAGGAGACGGAGAGTCTAGACAACTCTGAAGAAGTATGTCTGTGAAGTGGAAGAAAGAGGATAGTAACTTGAGGAGATAGAGTGAGGAAAGAAGACGGTCTTTTGTTTTTAAGGTGAGACATTTTTGAACATGTTAAAATGACAAGAGGAATGATCAAGAGAGAGGAAAAGGTGAATATGCAGGAGAAGGAGCAGTCAGCAGTGGAAGGTTCCTGAGAAGGCAGGAGGGGAAGAGATGGGGCTGGCTCCTTGATTCTGTCAGGTAGGCTGACTTCTTTGGGGTGTTTTCCCTGAGAAGTAGGAGGTGATGCCACCTGCTGGTGGAGAGGGGGGAGGTGGGGGTTTGGAAGTGTGAGGAACACGGAGAAGATTGTAGTAAGTCATGGAAAAGGAAAGAGTGAGTGAGCAGAGGAACACAGTTAGGACTGCTTATCTAGGGGGAGAATCTGACGGGGACTGAATGAGAGCAGGGTAGGCAGTGTTGGTGGAAGGCAAGGATGGTGTGGATGGTGAGGGTGGGGAGAGGTCCTTGTGGCAGGCATGACTAAGGAGGACCTCATGGAGGACACCGGACCTATGGTGATGAGCAGATGATTTTGATGGTGAGAGCCTGAAAATGGTGCTTAATGTCTCCTCGACTCCAGATTCCCATCTCATATTGCAACCGACTGCCCCCTCAACCCTTCACCCCTCTAGCCCCACCCCACCCCACCTCCTGCCCCCAAACAGTCCTTGACTTTCCAAATCTGACATGGCTTCCAGGTCTGTGTCAGGGTTGTTTGTCAGTTTAAAAATGTACTCTTGCTTCCCAGTTCCTACCAAGAGGCAAACATTTTAGTAAGCCTGAGTCCCGGCTGTGTGGGCAGGCGTGGCGGTATGCTGCAGATGGGGTTCCTGCCCGCCTGGGGAGCTCCAACAAGACTGAACAGCATGAAGAGGAGAGGCCAGTTGCAAACGGTGCTCTCAGGTCCACTGTCCACTGTCATTACCCCTCCCACAAGCCTCTTCAAAAACACGAAGGATGGTGTCTTACTCGCAGACAGGGTTCTGGATGATGCCAAGCATTGCAATGGGCTTTTCCCCACACCTGTGTATGCTGTGTCTCCCTCGTCGACCAGCGTGGGCACCAGAGCACATTCTGTCCACGCCCTTCTCAGACCCACCAGCTCTCCACAGGGCATGGACTGCTGACCCTGTCCCTGAGGTTGCTGCTTTCAGTGGCGCCTAATGGTTGCAGTCAAAACACCATCAGAGGAAATAAGACTCTGTAGGGGCCTGTGGGGAGGACTGGGCAACACACAAGGCACTTAGCATGTGTCATTTCTCTTTCTAGCTTAACTCAGGTGATCCGAAAGTTTGCCAAACAGCTGGATGAGTGGCTAAAAGTGGCTCTCCACGACCTCCCAGAAAATTTACGAAACATCAAGTTTGAATGTGAGTATGAAGTTCGGGAGCAGAGGGGAAGGGAGGGTAACATTTTAGTGCCAGATATTTTACATAGGTTGTTAATAAAATAATAATAATAGCTAAGAATTTACTGATGCCTACAAAGCACCAACTATCATGCTCAGCACTTTCCGTGCGTTAACTTCGTTAATCCTCACAAAATGTTTATTATGGGTGGCACACCTCTCCTTTACAGAAAATGAAACAGATTTAGAGAGGAAGTAAGCAGCAGAGGCAGGATTAGCCCCTAGGTCTGTTTGATGCCAGAGTTTCTGCTGTCACCACCACACTCCTTATCCCATTTAATCCTCACCCATCCCTGCAATGTAGGAAACAGTATCCCTCTTCTACAGGTGAAGCGCCAAGAGGCAAAGAAACTTCGCCAAAGCCGCACAGACACGCAGATGGTAATTAGGGGCCAGGAGTCAAACTCACGCCTATCTGACCCTAAAATGGAGATTTCCCCGAAGCTCCTGTCCACAAAGTGGGGGTAATAGGAGACAGACAAGAGCTTCAGGGCTTCATCTATTTAATTCTCTGCCTAATGAGAAAGCAAAATTAATATTTCTCATGGGGGATTCGGACTGTGAATCTTTTCTCTGCTGAGCATCACCACTCATTCCCCAGCATTCATGTTGCCTGAGAAAACTGGTCCTCTTTCTCTGTGTCAATGTGTCTTTACTTGTGGGAAGTCTCACGTGCTATTAAGCCAAGGTGAGATGATGTTAAGCCAAATAAAGTTTTAAGATATGTGTTTCTTAAAACCCCATTTGAATACAGCTGGCCGTGCTTGCCCGAAATAAGTACCAGCAAGGAAAATGAAGGAGATCCAATTACCCTCTCTCCACAGGCAAAGGGGGCCCTTTCAGACGTGCTTTGAGGCCGCCTGCCGTGCCCATCACCTATTGATAAAGCCTGCTTTATTTCACGGCTCTCAGCTCTTTTCTTTTCATGAGCACTAAATTCCACATCACAAAGTTAAAGAAAAAGTAATTAAGGAGAAGGATTAACGATTGATCGGCCTGGAAAATTAGAAGTTCATCTGTCCCCCGACTCCACCTGCCCCCCCCCTTCCTCCACCCCATGCCCTATTTTTCCAACCAAGCTGGTTCTGAGTACAAATTAGAATAATCCCAGGGAAATTTCTGATTGTTTCTTGACCAGTTCAGAAATTAATGAAAAGAATGCCCCATGCCCATTTTAATTACGCTGGCAAAGCAAATCTCTTGAAAGTCCGAAGCCAGGAGGTCTGTCGGACCTGCCACCTATGGGAGCCTGGAGGCGCCCACTCTCCCCAGGGAGCCTTGGGGTGCACTTCGAGAAGGTGCAAGGAGTGGAGACACACACCTCTCCAAAGGACTCTGTAAGGATGAAGACCTTGGGCTGGCACATGACTTGTCTGCTTCGAAACCTACAGATATAAGATCACCCCACTTCAAAGCATCAGCCTATTATGTCAGCATAGGACCCAGGATCATCCATACAAATAGGTCGTGGAGACTGTTGGATGAAAACGACAGATGATGAATGCAAAGCCACATTCAAGGTGCCGCCCAAGGTTCTATCCTAGAAGCAACCCTGCTCAATCAAGGTTTCCTAGTAGACATACTACTTTTTAAAGGGCCTTCTTCAAAGCTTCCACTTGATTCCTGCAATTATTTATGGGGAGAAGTGATTGAGCTTGCAATTAGCGAAATGAAAGACAAGTAAATAATTGCTTTTACTCACGGTTGATTGACGCCACAGTTTCTCACACCTGCCAGTGTGGAGTGTGGGCAACTTTGAAATATGTACCCCAAATATCGTCATCTTAGGAAATAGTTGTCCATATGGGAGAACAAAGAAGCAAATGCAGGGTTTTGCCAGTGGGTGCAGAAAACAGGATTGGACAGTGACAAAGTTAGGCAAACAAGGAAGCTACTTTTTGAAATCGGCCTGCGGAAAATCCAAGGTCGGACCATAAAGCATAAAATGTGTCATACTCACTCTTTTCTTCTTGCAGTGTCGAGAAGATTTTCCCAAATTCTGAGACGGCAAACATCACTAAATCACCTTTGCCAGGTAGCTGTCCTGTGTTATGTGTTCTAACTACTGCTAAGTCATTGAAAATGAACGGCAAATCCACAATAACTCTGGAGAGGATCTGTCAGGGTGTGGTTGTTTAATAGTACAGTCTCACCATTATCTTAAATTTCTACAGATAAGGAATTGAAACGCTAGCCAATCACTAAATAGTTTCAAGTAACATACAGAATAATTTCTGACATCATTTCCCCATTGACCTTTCATATATTCTAGGTCCACAAGTTTTGTGTTTTGCTTAAGTACATTGGGGTTTCTCAGCCACTGTTGCCTTTTTGGGCTGGGTAATTCTTTGTTGTGGGGAGTTGCTTTGTGTATTGTAGATGCTTAGTGGCATCCCTGGCCTCTACCCACTAGATGCCAGTAAGACCACCCACCCCCAAGTACCACTTTGGTTGCGACAGTCAAGAATGTCTCCAGCCATTGCCACGTGTAGCCTGGGGGGTGCAAAATCACCCCAATTTTGTTTTTTCCCCAGGTTTCTGTTCTTTTTAGCACAAAAGTGACATTTGCTTACTATTAAAAAATTTTTTTTAATTAGTGAAAGTATATACGTACAGTAAAAAGTGAAAGATCCCGCTGTAGCTCTGTAGTTCTAACTGATGGCATAAAGTTTTGCATTTCTGTTAATTTTGAACCTCAAGGAAGGGAATCTAAGTCTGTTAAGGCAGGCCATTAACATTCATTAAACTGTTAATGACCTTAAAGCCCAGGGGACAAACTGGTGGCTGCAGGTCAAATCTGGCCCGCAGATGTGTGGGGTTATTTTTGTTTGATTGGCATATGTTCAAAAAATTTTTTTTACTTAGTCACTAACAGTTTAAACTAGGAGATGACAACTAAACACCCACATATTCTGTAGAAAAATTGTAAGAGCTGGCAACCCCAGAGCTAATTTCCCCGGGGCAATAACCAGCTGGATGGGCCGAGCTTTTCTCTAGCAGGCAGCGTCCTCTCATCACCTCCACTTTCTCTTACACTTGGTCCACCTCACTCATGCACTTCACCTGCCTGCCTTGTTTATGTGTTCGGGTTTGTAACCTCTCCCTTACATTGTTGGTTTTGGGTTGGTGTTGGTTACTCAAGGTCAAAGTGGGAGGGGGAGGGGTCTCTAGTTAGAGTGGCCTGAAGGAAGGCTCCAGGCCAGGAACCAGAAAGTGTAAAACTACCGCCACCCACCCACCGCCCCCACCCCCCACACCTCACTGTTCCAGCCCTGCCCCTGGCATAAATGGCACAGAGGGAAACCTTCCACATTTGTACTGTTTCAGAGGCCACACCTGGGCACTGTTCTGGGGTAGGGCAGAGCCTCACAGGTTAATGGGATTCAGGAAATAAAATGAATAGTAACAAAATAAAGAAACACTGCCAGGGTTAGTTTTCAAATCCTACCTCTGTCCATCAAAAGGTTTTAGGAGGGACTCAACACAAGCCTGAGGGTTCTATTAATATCACTAAACATATAGTATCTACACATAAAGATCAAAAATTTCTTGTTTAATTTTTTATATTAAATTTCAATTGCATAAATATGTGTATCTTTTTAAAACAAAAACAATAATAATTTTACAATAACAAAAACAGTGATTAGATGGAAGCAAATATTTCCAGACCTTAATGATGGTAAATTCTGGGTCAGAGAAACTCATATTCATCATGGGTATTGGGTCTTGGGAATTGTCATTTTTGTCTTTGTATCTTACACATTTATTAAATATAAAAGATTTTAATGTATATATAAAATAAATTGATTTGAGATATTCTTTATAAAAAAAAAAAAGGAAAGACTGCATTGTTTCTGAGGGTGCATGCCGTCTGGTTCTTCTTCCCAGCTTGGAAGAGCCGGTTTTGGGTCATATCAGGGAACTAGATACGGTTTTAGGACATAGTTAAAAGTAGACATTTAGGAAGTTTAGAAAGGCCTTTGACCCTTTAATGTACCATGTAGGTAAAAGCATCCACACCCACGCCTACAACCACCTGCATGCTCACGGGCATGCGCACACACACACTCGCCACTTCTCACATAGACAGTTCGCACTTTAATCAGCAATTGCTACCTTTCCATCTTCACTGGACAGCTATCAGACACATTTCTGGATCAGCGAAAGGACTAGGGTTAGTGCTGGGAATGAAACACCATGGAGCATCTTAGCTAATATCCCAGCAAGCTTTCCTAAACACACACAAGGCAAGTCAGACTAAACAACATCCAGCCAAAAACTCACCCCCAGATACTTAAACCCAAGAGCCAACTATTCAGGCCCTTTTGGATATACACTGAGCAAGCAACTTGGCATTCATATCTCAGCCATTCATCCCACAAAATCTTTTGAGTGCCTACTGTGTGCCAGACATTTACACTTAGTGGTACTTGCCCAACAAAAAATAGTGAAAAGTGATAAGCGTTATGAAGGAAAGAGAATGGAAATAGAGAATAACGGGGCATTTTAGATCCTATTGAGATAATGTGGTTAGAGGAGCCCTCTCCATGGGTACTGCATTTAATTTTGAGCACGCATGATGGCAGGGTGGCCGGGGCAGGGTGAGAGAAGAACATTTCAGCAGCAGGAGCACCCTGTGCAAAGGTCCTGGGGTGTCAGAGCGATCACAACAAAGAGAGTCGACCTGCATGAGAGGAGCCTCATTTATTGAGCTCTTACTCCCTGAACTGTGCACCTTGCAAGCATTATCCCAAGGAGTCTTCAACAGTGGCCCTCCTGAAGAGATAGGTACTAGTACATCTTCATTTTATAGATCAGGAAACTGAGGTTAATCTGCTTGCCTGCCCCCAATCAATCAGCTGGTCTGTAGCAAGGTCAGGATTTGCACTAAGTATATTTGAATCCAGAATCCTAGACCTTCACATTCAATTATCATTAGAAACCAACCCAACTCACTTTTCATATATTCATATATTCTAGGCCTCTGTGTTGTGCAAAGACTTCTACAATGATTTAAGTAAGATTTTATTTTACCTGTGCTCGGACAGTCTACATGTAAAAGGGTTGTCAGTATTTACATTTGATTGGAAATTCATAAGCATTAGGCGACTTATAATGTCCATGTGTCTTTGAAATCTTGTTTTGTTTTATTAAAGACATTTTTGAAAACATGCAAGTAAAGGAAATGATTCTGGAAGTGTTTTCCTTTGCTTTTATCAGTATTGTTACAACTTGGTAGTTCCAAGTATTGTTGTTCCGAGTATTGTTCCAGCTTACAAATTTAAGTTCTACTATGAGGGTTGCTGAGGAAGCCACAGATTAAACGCACACACACTCACACACTCACAGACACACACACACTCACACACTCTCACATTCACACAGACCACCTTAAAAGACCACTGAGTCGTAAGGTATAGTTTCCTTTTCTTCCATCTCAATTGTTCATATTTGTTTTAATTATTATAGTTACATAAAAAGCAAAAGCAGAAAGCTAGACCATAAACTGCTTCAGAATGCACTTAGATGAAAAATACACCTTGTAAAATTTCTGGGGTTGAATCTATCATAGGCCCAAGGGTAGCAGGACCCTTCCTAGATCTGAGCCTGTTGCTTCTCACACGCTAGAGACACGGGTTATTAAACACAGAGCTCTCGCCCACAAGCTCACATCAGGAGGCTGACAGATCTCTGGGCTTCATCCCATTGTTCCACGGGGTCAAGACCAAAGGGGCTGGGAACAGCAGGTTTGGTCTGGCCTAGGCCACCATGGGGTAGTTTCTTATAAAGAGAGATGTGAAGAGAGAGCCACAGAGAAAATGGTATACGGATCTCCTGAGTTATAGACTCATCATCTGAGTTTTCTTGAATTTCAGAGTACTTTGCAAAGTACCATGAACAGATTCATTAAAAAGAACCAAAAGGAAATAAAGGAAGGGGTTTTAACCTAACAACCCATGAGCTAATGAGTTGATTGTATTGGATTCCAGGCATCTCGAACAGTGATCCACAGTGCAGACATCACATTCCAAATGCTGGAAGACTGGAGGAACGTGGACCTCAACAGCATCACCAAGCAAACCCTCTACACCATGGAAGACACTCGAGATGAGCACCGGAAGCTCATAATCCAGTGTAAGATGCTCTACCAGGGCGTGTGTCTTTTTATTTGTTTAAAAAGAAAGAAAGAAAGAAAGAGTATCTTGGTACATAATCAGGTGGCATTCCCACCCTGTCCTTCTCCCTGGGATCCCATCCCCTCTCTTGTCCCTGTTGAATGGGTCGGCCTAGATGGAGGGGCTAGCTGATTTTCAAGGACATGGGTCAACCTTGCTGGAGAAAATGGGTGCTGGGGCATTGGGCAGCGCACAGTGTCAGGCAAAAGGCCCCACCCGTGACCCTCGATGCCAGGTGCTGTTCCCTAGGTGACATCAACAGATGAGGACAAAAGCTTGCTGCCTCTCTCAGTGTATGTCATTATGTCAGCCTGGAGGAAGCTGGAAATCCCGCCTACTTTTCTGTGGAGGGTCACGGGCGTCAGCCCACCTATTTACTGGCAGGTGAACCTCTCAATCATAGTAGATGTTTCAGAAGGGGATGGAAGGTGATTCACTTCTGTGAATACATGTTCATGCCCCTGTGGATAAAGATGGTGAGAGTACCGCTCCAGGTATTATCCTGATGTGGTCGGGTTGCTCTTCTTAGCAGCAGAGGACACGGAAGGCCAGAGAACACCACCATTCTTAGCACATCCGTGCTGTTCCTCAACAGCCCATCACAGCCTCTGCCCAGGGAATCCCCTGGACCAGGGTCTGTTGGCTCCTTCCTTATTTTACTCAGCCGTTGCTTCTTGTGCCTCGGGGGAAGGGAGCGTGAGGATAGAGGGTGAGTCCATCCGCCCCCATCAGCTCTTGGAAAGCTTGGTGCTGAGGCTGTGCTGGGTGTGGGGGATACAGCAGCAGCTGTGCCTTCTGGATGGGGTGAGGCCCAAGGCCCTAATAGTGACATTCAGGAAGCTGCAGAGTGGCTGTCCCCCACCCCGAGAAGAGGGGCCTAGTCTTCTGAGAGCCCCAAGCCCCTTAGGTTTCTACTACGCCTCCTCAACACTGTTGCCCTGAAGGAAAACTTTCTTCATCCAGCCTAAGCATGTCATGTTTATAAACAGAGTTCTCTAAGATGTTCCTATTAGAGACCTCTTTTCAAAAACAAATGGAGCAGCTGAAGCACTGGATCACGTGGACCTTCCCTGGGGCTTCTTCTTTCCTAGTGACCCCAGAGCTCCTCTCAGGCTCTTATTTCTTCCTGTGCAACAGCCTCCAGCCTGCTTTCCCCTGTTAAGAATTTTAGAGATTGTGACAAATAATAATTCAGCTGATAGAGTGCCTAGTTTATGCCAGGTCCTGTGTCATGATCTCAATCTCCACATCAACCCTTTGGGGAGGATTCACTTATCAGCCCCATATTACAGATGAGAAAACTGAGCCCCAGAGAGGTGGTGAACCTTTCCCAAGTTAGCAGAGCTAGACCTGGAACCCAGGTCTAGTTTTGGTGTCACCGCCATGCACTTGTGCATGCCAGAGGAGAAAAAAATAACGAGATGTGGGCAAGCTTTAGAGGTTCCAGGATCTTTCCAAGTGCTTACAGTCATGCTTCCTGTTGTGTTTTTCCTTCTGGAAGGCAATGGAAAGCATGGCTAAGAGCCCCCTAACAGTGCTAGCTATACTCCTGATGGCCATGTCCCCAGGGCCTCACACAGGGCCAGGGGTAGAGGTGGGGGCCAGCAATGTTTGTAGAGGACCAAATAGATGGGTGGAAGCCCACAATGATCCAACTTCCTGGTTCTGCCAACCACTCCTAGCAGCATTAGACTCAGCTCTCTTCTCCCCTCAGCACCTTTCATGGGGGGAAGAAAATGTGACCCAGACTCATAAGGAAAACTACAATCACCATTGCTTGTTTTAGGGACCAGGCTCTGAGCCTTTGCTGGAGCAGCACGAAGGTCACTGCTGCTTCTCCAAGAAAGAACCTTTTGGGGCTTTCTCTTCTGGCTTTCTTAGGCTGGGGGCAGAATATTGTCCTTTATTTTTTATTTTTGCGGTACGCGGGCCTCTCACTGTTGTGGCCTCTCCCGTTGCGGAGCACAGCCTCCAGACGCGCAGGCTCAGCGGCCATGGATCACGGGCCCAGCCGCTCCGCGGCATGTGGGATCTTCCCGGACCGGGGCACGAACCCGTGTCCCCTGCATCGGCAGGCGGACTCTCAACCACTGCGCCACCAGGGAAGCCAAGAATGTTGTCCTTTAAATCTGTGATTGTATTCTTCTAGAGGAAGGGAGTCATAATGAGGTTCAGTGCAACCCACCTGCCTGTCCTGGGTCTAGCACTGTGTTAATACGCTGAGCAAAGAGCAGTGAATAAGATGGACACTGCCCTTGCCACGTGGAGCTTAGAGCTAATGGCAAATCAGAAGTTGAACAAGTAATTTCCAAATGGTTGCGTTTTACCAAAGAGGACATACTATGTGATGCAGTGCCGGGATGAGGGGGATTGAGGAAGCCTGAAGGCAGGTGGCCTGGCACGCGGGTGTCATCCTTGCTCCTTCCAGACAGCTGGGAAGTAAGTCCCTGAACACAATGAGCTGGACCAAAGGTCGGTTTGAATAGGACTAGGGGCACCTGTGTGCTGCACCCTCCTTTCCTTACAACCAGCTGACAAGTCTGCGGATTCTTGCTTTAGGGGGTCACCATCACATCCATGATGTAGATGCTGGCTGGGGATGCCTGACTTACCTTAAATTAAAAAGTACACATTGGGACTTGAGCATGATGATTAGAATGAGCCTTAAGTGGTGCTGTGGTAAGAGAATGTGGTTGGGATGCCCGACAGACCTTGATTCAAACCCTGGTTCTGGTGTGCTGTGACCTCGGCTTCCAAATCTGTAAAATGGGGATAATGCAAAAGGATGAAATGGGACAATGTGTGCCACATACATGGTACACAGCGTAGAGCTAGTGTAGAGAAGAGGTTGGGAGGCAAGCACTTGAGGCAGGCTGTGTTTGAAACTTGCCTCTGCCATTAACCAGCTGTGAAGGTCACTCATCTCTGTGTGCCTCTTCTGCCTCATTTGTCAAAAGGCTGGGTGTGTGTGTGGGGGTAATAATAGTACCTACCTCCGTGGGCCGTTCATCCTTTCAACAAACATTCGAGCAACTACTGTGTACCAGGCACTGTTCTAGGTCCTGGCCTCATGACATTCACATTCTAGGGGTAGTCTAAGGTCAGAGTGTGCCCATAGAGAACATTTTAGGAGAGTGCCTGGCATGCGGCAAGCACTCAGTAAATGTTGGCAGTTAGCACTTTCATTGCCATCTCGATCATTATCATCACGGATTGAAGCACAGTGGCTCAGACGCACAGGCAGTGCCGTGAAGAGTGAAGGAACACCAGAGGGAAAGTCAGAGACTGGGTTCCAGTTCCTGCTCTGCCACCAACTCACCCTCTGACTCTGAGGGGGTCATCTGATCTCTAAGACATAGCTTCCTCACCTATAAAATGAGACAGATCAACTAAATGGGTTTTGTAAAGTCCTTTCTCATTCTAAAGTATATGTTTTCGGGTCCTGGAAGCTGACCTCTTGCAGCAGTTATCAGTTAAGTAAAATAGAGCAGATTGGCCAGTCCTGGAAAATGGGACAACAAAAGCTGCTCAGACAAATGAGAACTGTAGGAACATGTGAATCCTGAATCGTGGTTTGATTTATTGAGCTTCACATACAAAAACACAAAGAAATGTAGTAAGAGGAGATGCTCCGGATTGGAGGTCACCACAGCAATGTTTCTACTTTCTGCAGTGCTTCACTGATGACAGAATCCTTCTATACTCAATGATTTGACTTGTACCTGAAGACAGGTTGTAAAGTGATATGATGATCCTCCTTTGACCAGTATGGAAACTGGAGGGCACAGTGATGGTTTCCTTTACACAAACGTTTATTAAGCGTCTGCTATGTGTCAAGCACTGAGAGGCTGGTTAGGCTGCTTGTCCAGTATGGTTGTGGTTCAGAAACATTTGAATGGTCAAATGTGCCTTACCATGGGGCAGAGAGCAAGACAGCAGCAGTGCATCTCCCCTGTCATGCAAGCAAGCGCATACTGGATAAGAGCTATAGCACAGGTAATGTGCCAGCTAATAAAGCTATCAGGCAAAGAAGTAGCAGGGGGACACGCCCATGCACACCCCTAACTATAGCAGTGTTCTTAGTGATACAGTGAAGGTAGAATGCAAATAGTAAAGTGCTGTGAAAGTACAGAGGGAGAGTGATCAGTTCTGCCGGCGAGGGGCATGGGAGGGTAAATAGGATTTCATCGGAGGATCATTTCAGCTGTTTCATGACAGACTAAACAGTCTAAGCAGAGGGAACTGCCTGAGAAAAGCGGGGATGGCAAGTAACCCGGGGTGGCCAGGGCTTAAAGTGTTCACAGGCACGGAGGATAAGCCTGGAAAGGTAAGTTGGGGTGTATTCTCTAAATCCTTGAATACCCTGCTAAGACTTTGGAGTTTTTTATTTTATTCCGTTGTATTCCTTTGTTCTTTTAACACCTGTGTGTGTTTAAACACAACTGCATGGTGTGTGGGGTCTCCTCTGTTTGACAGTGTATCAGGAGTTCGACCATCTCCTGGAGGAGCAGTCTCCCATCGAGTCCTACATCGAGTGGCTGGACACCATGGTGGACCGGTGTGTTGTGAAGGTTGGTAAGCTGAAGCGGAAGGTGCAGGCCCGGGTGTGGCAGCCCATCACTCGCCTTGATGGCGCTTGGGTAATACAGAGCCCCGCAGTGAGCTAGCTGAGTGTTTCCTCGGCAGCCTCGGAGTCCTAGGGATGCAAGGAGAGGCCTGGGCCCCCCTCAGGAGTGGGGGAGGGGTGTGTCATGAGGCAGGACTCTTAGAGTCTCCCTCCCCTGGTTCAACCAGGTCAGCATCTCTCCTAGCGGTTGTACCTGTTGAGTCTCGACATAAGATTTCATTTCTTAAAGTGTGTTTTTGCTGTTAAAAATAAAAAGTCTATAACATTGAACTTAGAGACCCGAAGCCTTCCTGTCATTTCAATAAGAGACAGTAATAAATGAAGGTCAAATCAACCACGCATACAGCCGTTCACTCTCTTGTAGGTGGCTGCCAAGAGGCAAGGGTCCTTGAAGAAGGTGGCCCAGCAGTTCCTCTTGATGTGGTCCTGTTTTGGCACAAGGGTGATCCGGGACATGACCTTGCACAGTGCCCCCAGCTTCGGTAAGGCCACCCCAGCCCTCCCCACATCCAAACACGTCTTCTCCGGGCTCCATGTACCAAGTCCATCTCTCCAGAGTCAGGCATGGTCTTGCTGTCTCTGAGACCACAAGGACATCACCCGGAAACATTCTCTATTCTGGGGGGACACGATATTGTTAGGACTTTCAGGGAGAAAGATGGCATTGCACGCTAAAGGAGAAGTATACATATCTGAAAACGAGAGGCTTGCACACAGATAACATTATTTGAGTTTAAAGAGGAGTAAATAGCAGTGGCTGTGCTCCCCTTTTTCTGGAAGTCCCCAGTCATGGCTGCTTCCACTGGTCTATTTTGCCAAATTTCGTAGTGTGGATTTGCCAAGACTGGGCACATGAAGAAGCCTCCGAGTGCAAAATTTGCAAACGGCTTGATTGACAGGCCAGTGGTGGGTAAAGTTTTCTTTGATAACGTGCCCCAGTGTGATCCCCAGTAAACGACTTTTGCATTCATTCTCCCTTTTGTTTCACTGACCCCTTGGGTTTTCATCACCTCCAGGACACATCCCTACCCCAAGTCCTTGTCTCCTGTTTTCCAGTTTAACGGGACTTGAAATCTCTGACCGGAGGTGCTTACGGTAGTCTCTGCGGGCAGGAACCTAATCACCAACTTGGGGTGAATGCCATTTTTCACTGGAAAGAATGGCATACGCATTGAGTCCAGGTCATCATTAGCAAAGTGAGGTGGAACTTTAAGGCATTATCCAGACATTTGAAATCTCAAAACACTTTGGCCTCAGTTTTCTAGGCATTTCGGCAAAGGGCTGTTTGTGAATTTTCTGGGTAATTGCTTCAGTTCTCTGTTTTACTTTGCAAGTAGAGATGTGGTTTTGCTTCTCATTATCTCCAATTAAGCCAATCAGCTCTGGGTTTTGCTCTGGGTTTAATTTGACACTTTTCCATCTAGCTTTTTATGGTCTTGTCACTATTTCCCAGTTGTGCTATACAATGCAGTGAATATGTGGTGAAACAAAGAAGGCACTATTTTTTCTAAACAGCTCTGTCCATGAAAGACTGTGTTTACCCAATTGGAGAAGCGTTTTGTTGTGGATTTCTTTAATCTCAGCGTTGGGAAGTTCTCTGAACCTGCCTGCACCATGGCTACAGATGGAAATTCTCTTTGAGCTGTATATGGAAATGCTCTGGTGACTGCTACCTGGGCAGTGCCACCAGGCATGGCATTTTGATGACTTCCAGTTCAGCATAGTTAGTGTTAGCACATGTTACCTGTGGCTCTGGGAAGATCATTTGTGCATAACTGCTTTCAGTTAAGCTGATGGGTGAAAAATATTCGAGATTTTTTTCATTGCTTCAGAAATCAAAGAAGAACGATACCGCACAAATAAGTATATATACATCCACAAAGCAAGCACCCTTTCCTTGTTTTATATCTTATTCTTCAAGTTGCTGATTCTTATACTGACTGTATATTATCAAACACCCTTCATTAGACAGGGAAAGTAGTCTATGTTGTAATAGCCTTTGAAATCCATTTGTATGTACTAAGTTAACAGTCAATGTTATGGAAAGTAGAACAATTAGAATAGGTTGAATTTATTACTAAGAAATATTATTCCTTAAAATGTGTTTATTTCTTTTTGAACCACGCACATTCTAGGATACACTGGAAACTCAGGCAAATGGCAAACATGGTCACAAATCTTTTAGAAAAGGAAAGAAAAAAGATATTAACCCAATTTCACTTTTACAGTATTTTTCAACCCTGAACAGATGGAAATAATACCTGTCTCCAAGTCCATTTAGCAAACTATCTGAAATGGTCCTGCTCATCCGACTCATTGTTGAGTTTTACAGCTTGGGGTGACAGGCAAGTTGAAAGAATTTGCGGCAGACAAAAGCCCAGCTCCCCCTTTCTGCCTGTATATGTCAAAGACACAGTTGGTGGTTGTGTTTGGGTCATGTGTTCCCTGTATAAAAACAGCTAATTAGGAAAAAGAGCCCTCTGTTCCCTGGCCCCTCCCCCAACCACAGGGGCCAGCTCTATATATCTTATAACTCCCACACGATCCTGGTAGCTGTGAATGGTGCGGGGTTTGTATGTCCGAGTAGCAGGCTGACCGTCACAATGATCGTGTGGAATATCACAATGATCCCACGGGGGGACTCTATCACCTCTTCGCAGAACAGCCTCTTTCAAAGGTAGTTGACTCCTTTCTTCTCCTTAATTCCTTTTCACTCTTTTCTCCCTAATTCCTTTTCACTGAAAGAGCCTATGCGGTGAACTAAAGTAGCCAGACTTTCTTTCTCTGCTGCAGCAGCACTTTCTAGCAAAATTAGTCAGCAAAGGTAGGGTAGCAGGCAATGAACTTTTCATCCTAATGGGGCTGAGGAAATTAGAGGTTCTATTTAAAAAAAGCAGCAACAACATATTTTCAGTTGACTGCTCTGATTTTAGTTCGTAGGATACCTGGATCCCAAGTCAGTGCAGGTGCCTTTACCTTTCACTATGGGTTTTTACCAGATGCCCCTGTTTCACTGTTAGGAACATCCGGAAGGCAACAATAGTTCCTGGAAGTGCTTCAGCATGAAATGCTGTGAAAGGCTGCCTCGGGTTTGACGGCCAAGGGGGCAGGGCTACATATCATTTCCCAGGTTTTCACCTTTTTACACGCTTGTTTTCTGGCCTAGCATCAAAGCTCACCCACTCAGGCGGGGCCGGGGAGGCCACATGGGATCAACTCCCAGGCCAAGTGGCCATGACGGACGGAGCCTCCAGACTGCTTCTCAATGTTTAGATGTCCTGGCCTGGCTCTCTTACCCAGAACCTGCTAAATTGCAGGATCTTGACATTCAAAATGTCTCTCAGGCCCCCTCCAAGCACCAGGAGGCAGGAATCGCTTTCCCTGTATTCGGGAGAAGAAGCAAGAGACCCAGAGAGGAGAGGGGGCTTGCCCAGGATGCACAGCAAACTAAGCTGAGCTCCCCTGGGGATCTATCCCATGCTAGAGCCACACTGCCAAGGCCTCTTTAACTTCCTCCAGCTGAATAGTAATAAGAAAAGCAAAGTAACATTTATTCAGGGACTAGTGTACACTAGACATAACAGTAGGCACTTTCCCATTTAATTCTCACAACAACTTATGAGGTCCACTATTACTGCCCTCAATATAACAGACAAGGAAGTCGTGATAGAACATGAAGCAAAGGCAGGATAATGCTACTCTTTATAACAAATGTGTAGGAAGCACATAGAACCATTTAATTCTCACATCAACTCTGCAAGGCAGATAATAATAGGTACCTTTTTACTGAGTTGGAGAATTTTCTTGCCCAAAATCAATATGGCAAGTGGCAGAGCCCTGTTTCAAAATCAGATGTGCATGACCACAAAACCCATGCTTTTTCAATTCCCACAACTGAGACAAATATCCTGGGCTCAGATGCATGGCACAAAAAGGCTAGACAAATTTGTTTACCCCTCATTGATGGATTTTCTAAAACCATATTGATAGAGTAAAAATTTTTTTAAGCTATGAGAGAAAAGAACAATAATTAGACAATCATGAGTAATAAGAGATGCCAGGAGACAATGGAATAATATCTTTTAAGTGCTGAGAACAAAGAACTGTCAACCATTATTCAAGAGTGAGGGCAAAGCACAGACATATTCAGTTATACAAAAACTAAGAGAACTATATGGCACCCATAGAACTTCACTTAAATAAAATTAAAGGATGGGGGCTTCCCTGGTGGCGCAGTGGTTGAGAGTCCGCCTGCCAATGCAGGGGACACGGGTTCGTGCCCCGGTCCGGGAAGATCCCACATGCCGCGGAGCGGCTGGGCCCATGAGCCATGGCCGCTGAGCCTGTGCGTCCGGAACCTGTGCTCCGCAACGGGAGAGGCCACAACAGTGAGAGGCCCGCGAAAAAAAAAAAATTAAAGAATGGATTTCAATAAGAAGAAAAATAAAACCATAGCTAAGGTCTGGGATACAAGAAACAACAATATTCTAGTTATTGTTGTTGTTTAACAAAAGTGTAGTGGTTTAAAACAGTATTATGCTTACAGATTCTATGGGTCAGGAATTTGGGCAGGGTCCAGCGGGGATGGCTTGTCTCTGTTCTATGATGTCTGGGACCTCAGAGGGGAAGACTCAAAAGCTGGAGTTCATCGACGGCTGGAGGCTGGCATCCTCTGGAAGCTTTTTCCCTCACGTGTCTGGTGCCTGAGCTGGGATGACTTGAACACTAGGACTGCCGATTGGAGTGTGTTCAGGTGGCCTCTCCATGTGGCTCAGTTTCCTCACCACACAGTGGCCTCTGGCCAGTTGAACCTCTCACATGGAAGCTTAGGCCCCATGAGTGAGTGTGCCGAGGGGGGAGCCGCATTGCCTTTATGACCCAATCTCAGAAGTGAAAGTTTCACTCCCCCTTACTCTGTTGATCAAAGCAGTCACAAACCTACCAAGATTGAAGGAAGTACATAGACACCCCCCCACAATTTTCCCAGGAAGGAGTGTCAAAGAATTTGGGAGCCCTGTTTTAAGATGAGAGAAATTTTAAAATATATAAGCAAATTTAATTAACTTTTGGTTGTAATTTAAAAACTAATTTGTGTGTGTTTCAAGAAAGTAAAACCAAATTCCAGGAAACAATAAAACACAGGGTAGCTGGGAGAGAATCTTTAAGGAATAGTTAACGCATGCTAAGGTCTTTGTCTTGAAATACTAAATAACTGTAGACTTTGTTGAAAAAAATTTATAGTTTGGATTTAATAGATGTTTGGATATATGATCATCACTAAAAGAATAGAATCATAAGTTACCAAAGAAAAAATGGAAAAATGTGAAAACTTAAATGGCAAGAATTGAGAAGATAAAAGAAGCTTAGAAAAAGGATCGTAAACTCAAAATATGAAACAGGATGCTAGAAATAAGATCAAATAATAACCACAGTAAATGAAAAGGTCTCTTCCCTCAAAAAACATCAGGCGTAAATTGCAACG